GAAGGTTGCCACGTAGAAAAGAAAGACTTTTAAAATTATGAGAATTTAAGAATAAATATTTGGAAGCTTTTGACAAAACAATTACATTTGGTTATATATATACTAGCGGTAACCCGTGCTATGCACGGAAATCGAGAATGTATAAGTTAAATAATTTATTATACTCATTTTCGTATTATAAAATATAAAATTCTTATAAATTTAAAATATAATAGGGAGTTATAACTAACAAATATTTTGAATATGATAACTATCTAATACCTAAGTTTATACATTCATTTTTTCCATCAATTTGTCATTTGAAACATTGATTATAAAATTATCTTAGTCCAAGTAGGTCATTTAGCAGCATAAACTATATTTCTATCGAACATTATTCTAGCTTTAAAAACAAATAATGTAAAAGTGGATACCATTACAAATAATATAAAAATGTAAAAATGAATACTACTACAAATAATGTAAAAATGTTTAAAGGCCCCTTTAAAGAAAACAACAAAAAAAAAATGCCCCCACTACATATATATATAGGTATACAAAGAGAATAAAATTCATCAAAATCCTAAAATCCTACAATATGTTAAAATATATAGCTAAAGTGTGAAGCATTTGAAAAATAAGATAGAAATGAATTTGAAGAAAATTATTAGATTAGAGATTAAAATAAATTAAAAAAAAGGATCATACGAAAAATATAATAAAAATAAAATTGGAGATAATGATAGGATTGTGGATACAAAAAAAAAATAAAAAATAAAAAATAAAAAAGAAGAAATAAAGAAAAATGAAAATATTGGAGAAGAATAAGATAAATAAAAAATCAATAAAAAGAGATAAGGAGTCTTCGATAATAAAAAGATTTTAAAAGTTAAAAATTTAAAATAAAAACAATAGTAAGAGAAAAAAATATTTCTTATTGGAGAAAAATAAGGATGAAAAATAAAAACATAACTTTAAGAGAGCAACATGTAGAAAATAAAATCTTAACTCTGCTTAAGAATTGAGTATAAATTTTGCAGTTTCAAATTTTTTTTTTGGTGCTGGAATGAATCATGGTTTAAAACTGTAAAATTTTGCAGTTTCAAATTTTTTTTTTTGGTGCTGGAATGAATCATGGTTTAAAACTGTAAAATTTTGCAGTTTCAAATTTTTTTTTTTGGTGCTGGAATGAATCATGGTTTAAAACTGTAAAATTTTGCAGTTTCAAATTTTTTTTTTTGGTGCTGGAATGAATCATGGTTTAAAACTGTAAAATTTTGCAGTTTCAAATTTTTTTTTTTGGTGCTGGAATGAATCATGGTTTAAAACTGTAAAATTTTGCAGTTTCAAATTTTTTTTTTTGGTGCTGGAATGAATCATGGTTTAAAACTGTAAAATTTTGCAGTTTCAAATTTTTTTTTTTGGTGCTGGAATGAATCATGGTTTAAAACTGTAAAATTTTGCAGTTTCAAATTTTTTTTTTTGGTGCTGGAATGAATCATGGTTTAAAACTGTAAAATTTTGCAGTTTCAAATTTTTTTTTTTGGTGCTGGAATGAATCATGGTTTAAAACTGTAAAATTTTGCAGTTTCAAATTTTTTTTTTTGGTGCTGGAATGAATCATGGTTTAAAACTGTAAAATTTTGCAGTTTCAAATTTTTTTTTTTGGTGCTGGAATGAATCATGGTTTAAAACTGTAAAATTTTGCAGTTTCAAATTTTTTTTTTTGGTGCTGGAATGAATCATGGTTTAAAACTGTAAAATTTTGCAGTTTCAAATTTTTTTTTTTGGTGCTGGAATGAATCATGGTTTAAAACTGTAAAATTTTGCAGTTTCAAATTTTTTTTTTTGGTGCTGGAATGAATCATGGTTTAAAACTGTAAAATTTTGCAGTTTCAAATTTTTTTTTTTGGTGCTGGAATGAATCATGGTTTAAAACTGTAAAATTTTGCAGTTTCAAATTTTTTTTTTTGGTGCTGGAATGAATCATGGTTTAAAACTGTAAAATTTTGCAGTTTCAAATTTTTTTTTTTGGTGCTGGAATGAATCATGGTTTAAAACTGTAAAATTTTGCAGTTTCAAATTTTTTTTTTTGGTGCTGGAATGAATCATGGTTTAAAACTGTAAAATTTTGCAGTTTCAAATTTTTTTTTTTGGTGCTGGAATGAATCATGGTTTAAAACTGTAAAATTTTGCAGTTTTATAACATTTTTTAGAACTGTAAAATTTTACAGTTTTAAAGAATGTTATAAAACTGCGAAATTTTACAGTTTTAAACCATGATTCATTCCAGCACCAAAAAAAAAATTTGAAACTGCAAAATTTTACAGTTTTCACTGCCTGTAACTAAAACTCGAAAACTGCTTTTTCAGAATTCGAAAATTTTCTCCATTAGAACAGAAAAACAGAAGTGTATAGCAGAGAGAGAGAAAAAAAAAAAAGAGATCGAAGGGGAAAGACGGATGTCTAACCAAATCTGTGTAGATCTACTCAGATCTGATGTAGATCTGAGTAGATCTATATCAGATCTAAGTAGATCCATTCATCTTCTTCGTCGGAAAATATATCATCTTCTTCGTCGGAGTTGATTTCAATGCTTGGTGGTTATCAATGAACCCCGATCAATGGAGAAAGATATGATCAAGGAACTGTTCTTCTTGAACTCGGAAGTGGATTCGTACTTTCGGGAAGTAGATTATGATGCAGAAGATTGTCCTCTTCCATGACAAATACGGTGACAGAAAAATGTAGAAAAAAAAACGAGAGAGGAAGGGAAGCAAAAAGCAGAGAGAGAGAGGAAAGGACTTTTGGGTGTAGTGAAAAAGTTATGGGATTAAATAGAGATCACATGTTTCCCATAGGACCTATGGGTAATTTCCCCATAGAACATTTGGATTTAGTAGGCCCATTTTAATTGAGAAAACATTTGGACTTGGTAGGCCCATTTTAGGACCAATTTTTATGATCTGAACTATTTACTCTCTAGGACTCGTTAAGTAGAATAGTCATCCAAAAAATAAGATGATCGAGCAACGGTAGTTATATGTTTGAATCAAATTTGTATTACAAAAAATAGGTAACTATTTTAAAAATTATATTTGTCGTCCATTTTTTTTTTCAAACAAATATAATTCAAACCTATAAGTACCAAATTTCAATCATCTTGATTTTTTTGTATAAATATTATATTACAGTTCAAATTACTAAAATCAATCCCAAAATAAATTTATCAAGTCTACGTTCTCTCAAGCTAAAATGCTAAATGGAGAGAAACAAAATTCTATATTCAATTGGTACATTTTTTATATCATTTTTCTGATTTACATATTAATAACTTTGACTAAGGCCAAGTTTGACAATTACCAAATAATCTATCTTTTTATTTTTTTTATCTTTTTTCATTATATCATCTCTCTACTTTTTGTACATCTTTTCATAAAAAGATAAGAAGTGCACTTATTTAGGTCATTCTAAATAACCCTAATTAAGTACATTAGTACATGACCACAAGAAGGTAAATACAACACCACTTGGATCATATAGATAGATGTGCGGAAACATTTAAAAATGTCGTCAAAGTTTACAAAAGAAACTCATGAAACAAAACTATTTTTCTAATAGATTTTCATAGCAGTAATGCTAGAATCAAAGAATTCGTACACACAAAATTACCAAAAAAATGTAACTTGCAATCTAGATTCAATTATTGTAGTGCGTGGCTTACACTTAGCCTTTGTTTGTTTGCCAAGTTAGATTAGATGAAATTACTAGCACTGAAATAAAAGAATTATTCATGTGGTGATATTTGGATAGAAATTTAACATAAATTGTATTTTTTAATTTGTATAGTAGTATTGTAGTATTTATTGGTTAAGATTAAATTTATAAATTTACTAAAAAGTTCTCAATATATAAAAAATAACTTTGTTATATTTATAAAGTGGGGATGTAATAATATTTTTACCTAGAATTCCATAGGATTACTAATACCGGTTGAGGGGATTAGTATATTGTTAGTCGCGTGGCATTATTTCAAAATAAATACATTTTTAATTCAAACAAACAACTATGGCTTTAGAATGAATGGAACCATGTTGTTTTGTTTTGTTTTTTTTTTTAATATTATTTTTATGTATTTGAGTTTTTGGTATCTAGCATTACTTGTTTTTATATTGGAGTTGGATGCTCACTAGTACAGTGGAAGGGGCTATCTGGGCCTATGAGGTCTGTTATAGGTGCAATTTTGATGATTTGAAATGTTTATTTTATAAAGTTTTTATATATATCATTTATATAAATTAAAAAAAAATTAGATTGATCGATATTATAACATATTCAATTTATCTCATTTGTGTCTAAAAAAAGAACAAAAAGTATGTTTTTGAAAATAGACCATCTATTTTTATTTTTATAACAAACGCAATAAATTGAATGTGTTACGATTATTGAATTAACTTAATTTTGCGTGCAGATGATATACACAAAGGACTAACAAAATGAAACACGTGATGAATCCCACAGGCCTGGACATCATCATCTAGTCTTTTTATATTATTTTATTTTGAAAAATAAATTAAAAAATCATAAAAAGTATATGATTTTAACATATTAAAGTTTATAATGAACACCACTTAATTTAAAATAGCTTTTAAAGTATACTCTAAAGTGATATCTCCCCTTATATTATTTGCTTGTTGAATTCAAAACAAGCTCAAAATTTGAAAATTAGTTGTTGCTAATCACTTTTTTTTTTTTAATGATTATTTAAATAATCAACAATACTACAAGTCCACCCTTATTAACTTATAATTTATTAATAATTTAAATTTATTTTATTCATAGATCATATATTTTATCAATTTAATTTTTATCACACAAACTGATAAATTGTAAGTTCCTAAAGGTAAGTTCATAGGATTTTTCTTAAATAATTTGAAAAAAAAAAAAAACAAACTTTTGTCAGTTATAGAAGCAAAACCGACTTACCAGTCAAACGAAAAAAACCTAACATTCATTCTTCTCATCATAACACATATACAGATGCAGATACATACATAAATTGATGTTTCGTTTTCAAGTACAAATCTCTTTCATTCTCTGAAATTCCTGGAATTAATAGAATGGCGAAGACTGGAAACAAGAACATACAAGCCAAGCTGGTGGGTAGGTCTTTCCTTTTAGTTCACTATTTACTCTAAAATCAATGCTTTCATGTTCTTTTCATTGCAATTCAACTATGGTGTTTAGTACTAGGGTTGATAATTGTAGTTCTATTGAACCAAGACCTAGTGTTGCTTGTTAATCTATTCATATTGTGTTTAGTTAGCTACTCAAAAAAAAAAAAAAAAAAAAAAAAAAAAAAAAAAAAAAAAAAGAAGAAGAAGAAGAAGAAGAAAATATTGTTGAGCTAGGCAGTGTTTTGATAAGATTTCAATGTCAACTATATAGGACAATAATCACATAGTACTATGCCGTTATTAGAACCTTAAGTTATGGATGGTCTTGTTTGATTAGCAGAACGGATTAACAATCATGAGATTAGTGTAAGATTGGTTATCCAGTTGGATTACTGGGATAAATAATCTCCCTTTTTCCTAGTTTTTTTGCATTATTAGTTGTAGGATTAAAAAATCCGCCGAATTTGTTTGGTAGAATGTCCATCAGAATATAATCCGGATAACAAAAATTGCAACCAAACACTGAAATGTAAGTTCCATGGATTAATAATTCCCGTCCTATGTTATAATCCGACCAATCAAATAGACCTATGTGAATTATATAATTTTTGTTATCACTTCACAATACATCATGCTAAGAGCCAAAGATAAAGATACCGTTTTCAATAATGTTATGCTGTTTTATATATCAATGATTTTATGATTTGTATTTTTTTATCCATTAGACTCTAATGGGAAGAAGAGTAACAGCCTGTTTGGATTGAGGGCCTAATTTGGAAAGACAAAATAAGTGCACTTTTTGACTTTTTTTGTATTATGGCCTAGTTTGGGAAGACTAAATAAGTGCACTTTTTGACTTTTTATGAAATATGGGTTGGGTTTGGGTTGGGTTTGAAGTGATGTATTAGAGAGGTGATGTGACTTAAATAAGATGATGTGACTTAAATAGGATAGTGACTTTTTGACTTTTTGTCTTTTTTCAATCTTCCCAAACTAGGCCATGTGTAGAAAAAGTAGAGAGGAGATGTTGATTGATGTGACCTAAAAAAGATAAAAAGATGAAATAAGTGCACTTTTTTCTTTGTAGCCAAACTTGAAAAGTTTAGACAAAGCCTGCTAATTATATTGAGCTCATACTTTTTAGGGAAAATTTGATTAGAATTCTAAAGAAAGCACATTGTCGAAGGGTGAAGCCTAATTAAAGAAGAAAAGCAAAGAGCTACTAATTGATTTGATTGGATCTTAGAATTCCATCTATGACCTGACTTTTGTTGTTCCAAATTCCAGGCAAGTTTTCACACTATGGGGTGCAATGAGTTTCATCAAAAAGACTATTTACAACAACGTGGAGATAGATTTTTAATGTTCATCACCTTTTCAGTTAACCTTAGACTTCATGAGAACTGATTCATGACAGAAGGTAGTAAAAAAATTAAAATGGAAAATTGAAACTTTTTCGTTGCTGGTAACTGTCAATAACATATCCACTTACTTGAGCCTTTTAGAACTGTTTGGCAAGTGTTTCTGAAGTCAAAACAATATTGGAAATAGGAACTTATGTCACTTGTCCATAAACCAGTCTTATAGACCAAGTGGCACCTGATTTTCCTTCGAAAAATTCTTTCCCAGGATTTATTACAAAAGCATTGCCTTACTTTTAAATATGATTAATGGGACAAATTCACAGCTATTGTACTTGAATCTTATATTATTGAGCCTTTCCCAGGTATTACTTGGGGACATGGGAACGGGCAAAACCAGTTTGGTATTAAGATTTGTGAAAGGCCAATTTTATGATTACCAGGTTCACTCTAATTTTTAGCTCTTATATGTTCTTTCTGTGTCAATATATTTCTATATTTCTTTCTCTACTTTCTCACAGAATAGGATCTTTGGTATGCGTATAATCTGCAGGAATCAACAATTGGAGCCGCATTCTTCACTCAAGTTTTGTCATTAAATGAAGCTACAATAAAATTTGATATATGGGACACAGCAGGACAAGAACGGTACTATAGCTTAGCTCCAATGTACTACCGTGGTGCAGCTGCAGCTGTTGTGGTGTATGACATCACGAGCATGGTTAGCTATTTGACAAAGTTCTAATAATTTTATTTTTCAGTTGCTTTTAAATCTTTATGTTTGTATACAATCCAAAGAGTAAGATGTATTCCATACAATAAATCTAAGCTCATCAAAATGTGTCTTTCTGTGAATTTGAATAGCAGACCAACCATCTTAGGATTTGGCTTCTGTCTTTTTGAGTTTTTAACTAACCGTGTGTGCATGTGCATGCACAATCTGGATCATGCTTCTGCTCAAGTAACCTGATGTTTCTTTGATTGATGTAATTTCAAATCCAGTTTATTATTTGGCCATATGATGATTTCTGGTGTTGTACTTGTTCATCTGAATGCTGTGCTGTTAGACCTTCCATTCCATGTCACTAGCAAACTTCAGTGCAGCCATTAAGAGAATATCTGTTTTTCATTTTTGTCATCATGACAAGCCACTTGCCCCTTCATCTTTGTTATTCATGCACAAGTTTGAGAGAATCAACTGACAGTAAAGCACATGGTTCTTTGGTTGTAGGATTCATTTGAACGAGCTAAAAAGTGGGTTCAAGAGCTGCAAAGACAAGGTGATTTACTTAAATTAAATCTGTTAAATCAGCTTTGATAGTTCTCTTCTTGACTCAATAACCAAAGGTGTTTGCCATGATTCTTTTGATTTGAAATAGCACCAGATGCTTCCAAGGAAAACATTTATATTTAGTTTTTCTTGATAGGATTAGTGAAACTAAACTGCCCCAGGACATTTCCAACTTCTTATACGTTAAATCATATGTTGTTTAGTATTCTATGTCGACATAGAAGCTACAATCCATCATTCAACGGATCCAATTTTTATAAATGAAGTCCTTTGGGTTGTGAGAAAACTTGTAAGAATGTTTCAAAGTCTAATTATGCATCAACTGGATAATTCATCCTGTTTAAACTTATCTTGCAAGATCTTCTTAGTCGCTTTACATAGACTTCTCTAAATCATGATTCACAATAGAAGAGCCAATCTTTCATGGGATTGGTGAGGGGGGCCAACTTGCATCTTCTTCTTTTTTTTCCTTGGGATTTGAAAGATCATGGGTGTTTCAAAATTTTGAGAGAGGCCATGACAATTTCCTTTCCTATACCCCTGAACTTGCACTGTTGTAGTTCTAGGTCTGGCATTTATGCGTTAGTTGAAATTTCTATCCCTATTATGGCATGCAATTTCATCTTTCTGAACATTAGTAGGACATTAAGCATCTGACTCACTATCCGAGTAAACTTGGTGCTTATGTAGCATTTAATGACAAATTGTGTTGTTGGCGTTGTGGAGGGTTAGAGGTTTACAAAGGCGAGTACAATAAAATCTGTAAACCTATACTATTATTTTCACCATTATTATTGTACTCACCTTTCCATTTTTTACTGCACATGACCCGCGAAGTGAAACAGAGACCCATGAAGTGAAGTACCATCAATAATGGTAGTGTGTGATGGGTTTGACAATGAAATTACCACACTATCCCTCTTTCAATAAATAATAAATTCATATGTTAGAAATAAATAAAAAGGACAACATGGTAATTTCACTCATTTCTGCGGATCCATCAGCCCTCTGCAAAATCTGGTCAGCTTTGATAAAAGAAAAAAAGAAGCCAAAATAATTGGTCAACTTTGGATGTTATTTTTTTTAAAAAAAAAAACCCAAAACTCAGTATATTTTTGACCATTTGACTGAAGCTCTTTATATCACTCTCCTAACCAACAATTCACTTCAAAACTTTCAGCAACACCATCTTCATTCCAACAACTTCTTGCTTCACAACTGTCACCATCTTCTTCACCATCTTCGTTGCTCTTTATATTAAAATACTATCAATACCCGAACTAGACAACCACCTCCTCCACCACCTACCTCAATTGATTTCCCATTCAATTAATTTATAATTTTCAAATGTTCCTTCAGATCTGTTTTGTTGAAAGGTGCCTTCAAATCTGTTGTTTAGAATCGAATAGTGCAACAAACCGGACGACCAGGCAGACAACCGGTGGGTCATCCGACCAGACAACCGGCAGGTCATTCGGCAGGTCAATCGACCTCTCTATTCCAGCTTCCATCAAGTTTGAACCCTGAGGCTGAGCTTTGGCTATCTGTTGGTTACTTTTGCACACCATTTTCATACATTTTGCTATACATTTTTCATACAGTTTTGTTACCTTTTTGGTATCTTTGCTTACGTTCATAAGTCATGTCGAGAACAAAAAGTGCCAAGCCAGAACGTGGCCAAACCTCTAACCTTTCACAACGCCAACAACAACAAATTTATCCAACAATTGATTTTCTTACCTATAATCATGAACAAGCTTATTCAAATTTTGCCAACCGACTAATTATTATCGGCAGAAGGGTAAATCTACCTTCTCAATATGATTCTTTGTTGGTTGGTAGATTGGACACGATAGAATGGCTACCTTTAACTAATTTACCACAAAAGGTATATCCATGCCTTGTGTATTTATTTTACCTTTACTTACGATCTACTGAGGGAGTAGTTCGAGAGAATAGTTTGACATCTTACGTGAAAGGTAAAGTAATCACACTGAACCCCCACAGTTTAGCACAAATTATTGGAGTTCAATCAGGGGATTTGCAATGTCATTTTCAAAGTGGGCGGACCCAGTTAACATGGTTGGTGATGTAAGTGAGGTTTATACTACTTTTTGTGAGAACCGATTTACCGGCACTAATTTACAAGCACGCCATTTAAAACCCCACCTTTGTATTCTTCATCGATGTATAGTCAAAAATGTCATTCCTAAAAAATGACATTTTGATGTTGTTCCATTTTATAATGTTTATTTGTTATATTGTTTTGAAATTGGACAAACATTAGATTTATGCTACATAATACTGAAGGAAATGATGGTTGCAAATCTTGGTACTCTCAGTGGCCGGTCACTACCTTTTGGCACTCTGCTAACCAAAATTTTCAAAGCTCATTATGTCAGCCTTGTAGATGACGTAGATGTGAAAATCAATTCACCAATTTCAGAGTATACATTGACCCGAGCTGGAGGTGCAGACAACTTATTGGGATCTATTGATTTTGCAAATGCACCAATAGCTGATGATCCCGAAGACCCCAATGACAATGCCATGCTACAAAATCAACAACTCTACTATTGGATTGATTATTTGGCACTGGAATAAGAATGACACAATCAACACGTACAATGGGAACAACAAATGGAGAATCAGTTCAATGCATTGGGTAATAGGTTTGATGCATTTGCCGCCGCTTAGAACTCACTAATTCAACAATTTGGTGAGTTTTGTGTTGATACTGAAAGACGTAATGAAGTAATAAGCAACCGCATTGATCAGATTGGCCATCGAGTGACTCAAGTCTCCCATCACTACTTCCCTCCACCTCCATCACCACCTGACAATGACGCTTAATTTGTTTCGATGAGCAAATTAAATGATTTACGCATGTTATGGTTTTTAGTTGTATTGCAAATGTATGCATACTTTCTGTTCTTATTTGTTTATTTCTTTTTCTTTCTTTCTTAATTTTTTTGGTTCATGGATGTCTTTAAACATGTTGTCGTTGTAATGCACTGATGTAAGTTGTTATTTTGTAAATGATGCACCTGTTTATTTTAGTTTGTTTGTATTTTATTTTCGTGTTTTTATTTTTCATAACCAACTCTTTTCGAATTGCAATTGAAGAAATATTTATTAACCCACAAAATATTAATAACCAAAATGTTCTTAAAATTTAATTGAAAATATGGTTTATGAACAAAAGAAAAATAACAGAATTGTTGCCAATCTGGTTTTGTGTAAAAGAACAGTTAATTGAAAAAACAAATGGTAACCAAATTGGGCTTCTTTTTTTTTTTTTTAATTTTTTTTTTGTTTTACTGAAATATTTTAATATTTTACAACAAAATATTGATTTTCATAATAATAATGAAACTGAAATATTTTAATATTTTACAACAAAATATTAATAACCAAACTAAAATATTTTACAATAAAATATTAATAATGAAACTGAATTTTTTTAATATTTTACCACATCTATTATTTTTTTTATATGTTTCGCAAAATTATGGTTGATTTTGTGTGAAAGACCAACAATTGAGTCAACAGTTTTTAAAATGGTTGTTTGTTTTAATTACTTTATTAAACCCCCTATTTTAATATTTGACAACAAAATTATTTTTTTTTTTAAATTTTGGTTGCTTTTGTGGAACACCAACAGAGTAAATGAATACCGAAGTGGCTTTTATATAAATTTAGTATTTTTGGTTTACTGGAATATTTTAATATGTTACAACAATAATTTTGGTAATATTTTTTTTTACAAATTATGGTTGATTTTGTATAACACCAACGGGGTAGATGAATGTTTAAATGCTTTTTTTATTATTTATTATATTACTTTTACTTAAATATTATAATTTGGTACAACAGAATTAACTTTTTTCAGGATGTATTTTAAAAATCATGGTTGCTATTTGTAGACACCCCATTTTTGATCGCCCTTAAGACTTGGGGGCCTCAGGTTGATTGTTCGAGGACGAAAGCAGGACGAAGGTTACGTTGTGCAAAGGTTCGATTTCTTCGGCAAGAGGAGCTCCAAATCCCAACCTTACACCCCATTTTGGACCAAATTATTTTAGACCTTAAAGCCCTCTCTTTCAAAATATTTTGAAAATGATTCTACGATGTTCTAAAGCTCGCATTTTGTTAAATGTTGCACTTTTCGGTAGAGTGGAAATAAATGAAAGAGAGGTGAACTCTTTGAAAATTCTTTCAAAACACCTTATTTAGAGGTTTGGAGTTGAAGAAAATTGGAGGAGAGGAAAGAAACCTAGTTGGGGTAGAAGTTGGGCATGAACCGTTAAGACAAAACTGGGCAGCCTTCACTAAATTAGGTCTATCCTTTTGTACACTTGGACGTAAGTTGTAAGGCCACCACCATTGGAAAGTGGACTTCTCGAGCTTCATTTTGCACACAAGAATCTCCTAAAGCCATGTCCGGATGAGGGAGATATGACTAGTTGAAGTTAGGCATCAATCCGATTGAGCTGGAAATGAGCAACCTTCACTAAAAGAGGCATATCTTTTTGCACACTTGGAATTGTAAAGTGAGGCTTCCACCATTGGAAAGAAGACTTCTGGGGCTTAATTTAGGCTCAAGAATGACCTACAAAGGAGTCCAGATGAAGGAGATATGCCCATTTGAAGTTGGGCCTAGAAGAAGATTTTTGGTGGCCAACCGGCCACCACTGGTGGACGACCAGCCACCAATGTAAAATGTCGACCACTGGTGAAAAAAGCTCAAATTTTGTAGATATTTTCAGCCAATTGTCTCCCACAAGCTCCAGCTTTCTGTTTTGTTGATATTTTTAACCTAAGCTCTCATTTTTCTATATATAGAGGCCATTCTCTATTGTTTTAAAGGTTAGAACATTTTGAAGGTTGAAGAAATTTTGGGAGCCTTGCTCTCTACAATTCTCTCTCTTTAGATTTCTCTCTTTCTTGAACTTTTGTGCATACAAGTAGAGATAGACTTCTAGTTTGCCTATCAACCCTTAATCGAACTTGACCATTTTTGGGCTGAGGTTAATTGAGGCCCTCTTTGAGCTCTAGAAGGTGATTTTAGCTTGAATTTGGCTTGAATTGTTGCCTAAATTGTTCCTTCCCTTCAACAGGTAGAAACTTCTCTTTGCTGGCTTAATTTCCATACTTGTTTTGCCATCTTTTTACACTGTTTTTGAGCTGGTTTTGAACTCCAAAAAACTCTGTTTTTATGGTTTAAAAATGGTGGTTTAAGGCCTTTTTGAGTTTGGAGGTGGTTCACCCTTTTGCTTCTTAACTTGTTAAGCTTTTTGAGCTATCTTTCATCACTTTGAAATCAAACTTTTTGGGCCTTTTAACCACTGAATTTTAGAGATTTTTCAGTGGCAAAAACTTATTTTGAAGTCCAAAATTGGAGGAGTTAACCTCCGCTCTTTGTGTCTTGTTTGCATGCCTAGTTAGCTTCATATGTTAGTATGTTTTTGTAGCATAACTTAGTTTATTTCCAGCATGTTTTTGCCTCTAATTTGGGCTGCATTAGCTTTGTTTTGGGCTATTAGTGTTGTATGAGTAGTCTTTTGCATGGTTGTAGTGTAACCCCATGTTTTAGCTTATTGTTTTAGCTACTTTTGTCTTCATTCCAGCATGTTTTCCAACTGATTTTGGGCTATAAAAACTCTGTGTTTTTGGGCTGAAGCTTGGGTCCTAAGGCT